AATACATAAGAATGAAAATGGTAAGTTTCCTTTTGTAAATCTGGTATAGGTCATGTTCAGCTCATCCGATGCTGAGTAAGATTCCTTTTTGATGTAATTGTAAGAGAAAAAGAGCAAATTAAGATGAAAAATGTCATGTCAGCTTTGTTTAGCAGTACAGGATGGTTTAATCCTGCCCAGTGACAGGTTAATCTACTGACCTCAGGCTGCTTGCTTGCTTGTTTGTCTCGTCATTTGTCTGTTTTTGTTCTCTTCCATTGCTGTGCACTTGTGCTTAGTCACAGAGGACTGTGTTGTTCAGCCTGTTCCCTATGGGCGGTCATTACAGCTTCTTGAGGCCACATGAGGAAATAGTCACTCCTTTCTCAGCCCACCTCACTATGGCATGCAGAGACTTGTTTTTCAGATGGTCCCATTGCTTAAAACAATGTCATTTGCATACTGATACTGCCGTTGCTGAAGACGCCTCAGAAACTGGCAGTTAACAGCTTGATTCGTTGTCACATAAACAAGTGAACTCTGCAGATTTGGTTTTTCTAATCTTTTCTCGTCTCCTGAGAAACCCCTCCTTTCCTCACCGGGTGGGCCATAGATGAGTGTTCTCATGTCTTGCATTGATTTCTTTCACCGTGCAGTGTCCATCACATTATTATCAAAGTTCTAGGAAATATCGTAAAATGATTTTACGCCCTGTTATCATTCCCTTAGTTTGTTCTCAACTTCAAGTACTCCACCAAAAGCTGAATATCACAGCCCTAAACCTGACTTGTTTACAGGCACTGTGTTCCAGCAGAGCACACACTGTCACTGATGGATGCTTTTGCACTAAAAATGGACTTTGAGATCATTTTTACATGGACATCAGTGGATTAGTTATTTCTTGGTTATACCTACATGTTCACCTTTATTATTAATTTTATTGAAAGTGCACGTTTGCCTTTTCAAAATTAAAGATGTCTTTTTGTCTTCTCAAGCTGTACCTGAGCTTGATATGAGATGGGAGGTGTATTTGCTTTGGTTCACTGACAAGCTTCCTCTGTTTGTAGCTTAAGCTGTTACATGAAAATAAGGTGGACTGTCTCCCTGAGTCCACTGCCAGACCAAGTTACCAAGTACTTAACCTATTTACCAACAAACCAGGATGGATTTATTTGCATTTATCTTTTTATAAAAGGATTAAAATACTTCAGGGATAAGCATAAGCCAAGACAAGAAACACAACTACAAAGGTTTCAGTAAGTAATCTGTGATAAATATGGAAAATAAAGGAGAAAAAGAATTGATTACAGAAAGGAAAGCTATTCACATGTATGAGGAGAATGAGATGCTGTACAAGCACACAGAGTGGATTGCAGCACAGTTTGGTTATTTTTCTGCTCTCACCTTCTAAACTGTGCAGTCAGCCGCTGAGTTGAAATCAGCTGTTTTTGGGTAGGAAAATCAGCAAACTGTGCTAGTACTACAGTCAGACTTCATGTTTTTGGGTTACATTTTCATACTTAAAACTTGATCATGTAAAAGCTATAATTGCAACTCTTGTGATTTGATAATTACGCTTTCAAATTGCGATTTTGATATAAAAACGATTAATCTTTCAGCCTTATCGTGAATCGCTCCAGGTTGGAACATTCCAGTCTTGCAATCTACTTGATCAAAGATAAAAAATAATAGTCAGTTTGCATGACGATGATGCATATCTCAGTATCTCCTACTTTCTTACAGTAAGTCATAGAGTCTGATGGTCACACCTAATTTCTTGCATTGGTTTAGCTGTTGTGTCATTGTTTTCTTACTGGAACAGTAAACTTACTAATGACTTTACTGATTGTCTCAGTGTGAAAGCGTGGAAAACCCTCTCAGTATCAATGACTCATGTAGCGCTTCCCTTCTTATGCCCTCGTGGTCATGTTGCGGTAGCTTTAGCATCGGTGGCTGTGTTTTCCAGAGTTTGCGTGCCTATATGAAGTGAAGATACCAAGCTCATCCTGCCATGAACAGCACCCTACAGCATGTATGGTGCTTTTTTCCTCATTCTTGTTAAATCACATCAGCTCAGGTTGTTCATTTGCTCTTATCTCTGCACTGCTGCTGGATTGATTGAGACAGGGATGCTATTATTTTTCTGCACTTGATTTACCATGTTAAAGAAATCTCGATTAATGATGTAATCATCTAGAGTTAAAAGCGTTGCAGAAAAATAAAACCTAAAACATGGAGTGGCGCTGTTGAGTGTCATTAGGATGAAAAGACGGGCATCACATAACAGCACGTTTCTGTTGGGCAGTCGAATGTCACCTTGAACAAGCTTTATTCAGTTACTCGTAAATTGTAGCGATGATGATGAATAAAATAATAACAATAGTAGTGCAGCTATGCACAAGCTTTTTACTGCGCTGAGGGAGGTCAAGCTTGATTAGGACAGTGTGAAGTTGCCTCTTGTGCTGCCAGCTGTGAGAAAATGTCAACTAGTGCTCAGTTTTATAGAGTTTGTCACTCCTACATTTGTGTCTGAAACATCTTATCGATTTATTCAGTTATTCATCAGTTATTTGACAGCCGCCACAGAGTTGGAGCTGTTATTGGTTGTGATGTAGGAGATGCGACTTTCCTCCAGCTTCCACACCTCCAAGGAAGCTCGTAGCTCACCTGCATCTCTGGGAAATGGCTGGTCTTGAGGTATTCTGACTCTAAGTTAGACTCACTGTTTTCCATTTACAGATGTGTACGGTTGTGAGTTAATACTTGATGTTAGTGTGAAGTACTTAGCACTGTCACTCATTTTTTCCACATCGAGCATCTAAAGCTCCATGAAAGTTTTACAGTGTAAAGCTGGCCTGGGATGATTCTGAAAATTTGAAGTGCTACCATCTTTTGTGACGACTTGTTCGTTAGTTTAGTTTATGTGCGTCACATTGTTTAGATTGAGTAGTTGACCCTTTTCGCCAGGTTTACATCTAAAAAGTTGCCAGATTGGGACATTTGGCGTTTTTCTGTTGAAAGAGTTGTGCAATTATCTTTCCACAATTACGCACACAACACAGGGGTTCGTATCGAGGTCACAGCGCCTGTTTTAAAAGGTATTTTAGAGAATAATAGAATCTCATATATTTTTATTAAAGAGTGATTTCAAGAGTTAAATGACACGCTTATGTAATTAGTGAAACAATATAATCGGGGCAGGGATAACACTGGATATCATGGTAGTGTAAGATTGTGTAGGGATGATCTTATCGTTAAATTGCACATGCCTAGTATGGGCTAAGCCGTATATACAATGGATGACGTTTACATTTTGGTGCGTTGAGTTCTGATTTCATTTATTCACCTTGTTCAGAAGATATAGGCCTGTATAGGATAGATATCATGAGTGAAATGGAGTGCCTTGTAAAGTGTAGCATTCTGTTTAATGACAGTCATTTACTGGTTATGTAGGATGATGTGTCGAGTGAACATGCTTGTTGACCTACTTTCATAAAGTGTGTCCAGTGTTGTTTGGTCAATTTGTGTGTTGCCACATTGAAAATTGACTACTTCCTGCCTTTTGTGCCAGCTGCATTTCAAAAGGCTTGCAAAACCAACAGTTCTTTAAACCAGCCTGTGCTGGTATAGAGATTATGCGTCTCCTTGTCTATTTTCATCATCAGACTCTTGGAAGTGGATGAAGGGCATTGTCTTCACTTACATTACAGAGTCCCTCAGTCGATCAGACTCGCTCTCGCTTTATTTTACTTCGTAATTGATCATTGCTTGATTGATGGGATACTGTAGTCTGACATCTTTGCTTGGGCCGTGATTGTAAGGGGAGAGTTAGGGCTGTGTGGGCTTCTGGTAGATTCTCTGTGACGAACAGCAGGGAGGAAGATGCTTTTTTTATTATTATTTTTTTTTCTTCCCCTCCAACCTTCTTGTGTTTCGGAATGCTGGAAGCCCCTCCCCCTCTGGGCAAACGCAGGCGTGTGTGCGGCCGTGCTTGCTGCCAGTCTCTCGAGGGGTTAAAAACCTGCCGTAGCCTCTTGGCTGCATCCGCAGACCGGTTTAAACTGGTTTTCAGGGAAGTGCTTTGTGTGTCCCATGGAATCTTGGGAAGGGTCATGTGCAGCCCTAGTGATGTCACGGAGATGAGAGAAGGCCTCAGTGTTGAGTCAGCTCTGCTTCTGACTGTCAGATACCAGATATGCATGACACAGGTAGGGCACAGAGCAGGTCCACTATGGGCTGCGAGGCATTCGCTCATAAAATTAATATATCAATATTTAATCAATTTGCAGGTTGCAGACTTTTTGTCTATGTATGTAAATTTTATTATTTATTTTTGAAGTGTAGCAGTGGTAGCTACAGGGTTTAAGGCCTGTTTGTGGCAGCAAAACAGCTCATCAATAAAAAATTGAATGGCTAGCAGCTTGTCCTATTTCTGTGCTTTGAATGAAAGTGTTTATAATGTGTCCCTGTCAGTAATATCTTCTTCTCTGTGTGGCTGGGTTGACCTTGCTGAGACTTATTCTGCTTTGTTTTATTAAGCAGTAGTGTTTATCCTTGAGCTGATATTCTGTGGGGATGCACTGACATGGAAATTGTGGGCCAATACTAATATCTGATATTTTTCATGTGCAAATCTTCTGTTGCCAGTGCTGATGCTGAAACATGAACATTTGTAACGTGTAGAAATTAGCACTATAATTAGGATTGGATTAACTTTACAGAGAAATCAAAGATTTATTAATGTAGGGTTACAAATAAAATGCAGATATTTCAGTAGCCTAGGATCGACTGCTCTTCTAGAGTACAATAAATACGTCATCAAATATTGATTAGAAATATCTGCCGATCTAAACATCTGTCTGATGCAAAAAAAAAAAAGTTTTAAGCAATTATTTGTCGTTAATTTTATATTGATGTACAGTAGTATTAGTGTTTATCTAGCAAATTTGTATGAATAAGATTCATTTATGTTTGGATAAATTGCCTCCAGGTTTCTCACATGCTGGCCCTCTTTTGTGCAGGTGAGAAGATGTCTGAGGAGGTGGTGCGTCAGACGCGCAGCCAGAAGAGAGCACTGGAGCGGGAGGCTCCTGCCGTGGATGGAGACTCTAAGCGACTGAAGCTGGAGAGGGGGGAGCTGGGGTCTGGCAAAGTGGCCAGCATCCTGAAGGCTGGCGAAGTGAAGGCCACCATCAAAGTGGAAGTGCAGGCCAATGATGAGCCTGTGGACATGAGCACGTCCAGAAGGTAGGTCATGCATTGTCACCTAGGTGCAAATTTATGTCCAACAGATTTCCAAAGAGTAGCCTTAAGACATTCATGGTAATTGGTGCACTAGGTTGGCATGCACAGAACCAAATGCAAACTGATTATTCTGGCCCTGTCCACGGGTTAGTTTTGTAACTGTTTAAGAGCTTTGCATGGTCATGCAAATTTGAGCTTGGTTAGCATAGACACCCAATGGTTGTCAAATTTTGTTCAGTGTCAACAAGATTGTGGAGTCCTGATATGTAGGTGGATTCAAAGATGGTTTACTCCTCCACACATTCATGTATTCTCAACATATTATTTACATATTATTTTTCTCATAATGTTTGCATAGCTATAGCCTGAAGTAATAATGCTTCACAGAGGATAGTTTAAATGGAGTTATGCAAAACTGAAAAGATGCACAGATTGCAATGAGTAATGTGGCTGGGTCAACCTGGCCTTGTAATGAGCTATACATCAGGAAAAAATGGTCATTCAGCTCATATGCCAGATAAAAGAAAACTGTGTGTTTAATTATAAAATAGTATATCTACTTTAATTGCACTTTTTAATATCTCGCTTGTGATCGAAATCGAAAATTTATCAGGTAATTGTTAAGTAGCTGGAATGTGTAGTCTTGACAAGACACAACAACTTAAGCTTTGAATCGTACTTTAGCTTTGATCCATATTTATGTTGAGTGCTAAACGCATTCACTGTGCTGGTGTCACATTTATAGATGTCTTTGTCCCCTCTGCAGCAATCTGGAGTCAATACAGGCAGCCTTGATTTGATATGAATTTAACTCATATTAATATTAATTGAATTTCTGTTTAGTTGAAAGCTTTTGTCAAATATAAGTCCCTCTGATGTTTGTGAAGACAAGTTTTATACTCCTGCGTTTCTGTCGTAGGGTCCCCCCCAGTCTTGGACCATATATGTTTCAAATGGTCTCAGATGCTGAGTTAAGCGGTCCTGTTCATATGTGAGCATAATGAGTGAACTAAACAGACCCACAAACTCCCGAGGTGGTCTCAGTGCAGTTCGTTTTAGGTTTGCTTGTGGTCTGATTGATTTGTGCATAGTGAAAACAAAACGGCCCAGCCCAGTTGCTTTATGTTTAAAGAATCTGGAGTCTTGTTGTACGTGCACAGCCACAGTCTGCTAGTGCTGGCATATTAAGGCAATTCAAGGCTGTGAGTTAAAATGATTTTACCATGATTAAACAGTGATGCTGGGTAAGAGTTTAACTCCTGCCCGTGCTGAAGAGTGTAACTAAAGGCCTCAAGTATTTAGTTGTTTTTATAAAATCTTGACAATATACAATATAGTCACATATATATATATATATATATATATATATATATATATATATATATATATATATATATATATATATATATATATATATATATATATATTTTAACAGCTGGTAATTTAATGCTACCCAGGTGGGGTCTCAGTTCTAAAGGAGTTGTGATTTGAACAATAAGCAGTCTTAAGATCTTATAAATGGGCGGGTTTCCATTCAAACATTTCGCAAATGTTATGTGCGTTACTGAAATTTTGGCAGGAAAAGAAGCTAATTAAGTTGTCTTTCCATCCACTACAGTAATCCTAAGAAACTTTAGATGACATAGGCTAATATGATTAGGGACAAGGTGGAGAGATTAAACAGTTTTGCTTCACGTAGAATTATCTTTACTGTCATTTGCCAGGTTTTTTTTTTATGGCAGCGTTTTTGGCAGCCCAGAGACGCCAGGTAGGACAAGCAGTGACCCATCTAATGAGGGCTGAGATCTCTGTGCCAACCCGACAACATCCAGCTTGCATCTGGGAACGCAAGTGCACCAGACAGTTTTTGGAGCACATTGTGCAGAGCCATTTTTCAAACGAGTTTTCGATCAGGTGTTTCAGAATACCAAAGCGAGCTTCAAAAAGCTGTGCGCCATGATTGGACATGATCTGTAGGGCCACTCGTTTCTTACATACGGCTTGATCCATCATTGTTTATTTTTAAAAAACCTGTATTAAAAAACTCACTCTTTTGGATTTCGGCTTTATTGATATTCCAATTTTTCTACCACATCCTAGCATAAAGTGATATTTTGCAATATTTGGGTGTTTTTTAATTTCAGGCTTTTTCCTTTCACATTTTTTGCGCATCTTCAAAATTCACAAAGAACTGGTGGATGGAAAACCCACTAATGTTAGAGTCAGAAAGAAAATTGAGGACTAACTGTACCTTTTATAATCAAACATGCAGCCAGATATCCACAATATGCTCAGAAAAGCAGGTTGTCACATATAACTAACGTAATTTATAATGATAACCTTAAATATTGTCATTGTCCAACCCTAAGTTGAAATGCTTTTGAATGGCTTTAATGTGGCCTTTTAAAAATTGTTTAGAATAACCATCAAGTGCAGTGAGAAAGCTGTTTAAAATAACTACAGAGCACATTAAAGGTTTTACCAGCTTTGAGGTCAAAACAGTTGTTTCTCCGTTAATCTCTGTTCTAAGTACGTTTGGTTGTTCACAGCAGTTATAATCAAGCAGAAGTGCCAGTCTGTGAAATATATTGAGATGAAAAGTCCATAAGTTGACTTATATCTTGTGTTGAATGTCTGCATCTTCAGCACAGCTGTGATGGACTGTGGATCTAGATGCTGAGATGAGAACTGAAAATGGCTCCTTCATGATGTCATTCTCTGAGCAGGACAAAGGGGTGACTTATTACCGTGTGGCACGGGGGGAGGGGCAAAAAGTTGAATGTGCGATACCAGACGTGGTGTCCATTACTGACGAGCCTTTAAAACTTCCCCAGTGCACTGATGCCCAGCACCCAAACACTTAAATCAGTTCTGTGCACCCCTTAAACTTTTAGGCAGCACCATTTTCCGCTGCACCTGAACCCTGCCTGCCGTCGCAAAATGAAGCCTATGTGTCACAAACTGGTTCCAGCCGGCCGTTGCTATGGTTTCCACACTGGAAGGAACCGTTGAAGAAAAGGGAGAGTGTGAGTCATGTGATCTCTTAGGTACTGATTAATAACCAGGAAGTGATGTTGATTACGAGAAGGTTAAAGTTTCGGTTTTATCTTTGTTTGTCTGCGCCTCCTGACTTCCACTGGGCAGCCGTGAAGTCCCAGTCTGTTTTCCCAATTCTGTTTCTCTGATAGCTGTGTTTGTGTTGGTTGTGTTTGTAAGAGGAGAGAGAAAAATCTGCCCATTATGCTACGTCATCTCAGATATGGCAGATCTTATAAAAAGGTACTTTTGATGAGTCCTTTTTGATGTGTATATATCGCCTTAAGGCCTCATTTGCCTTTGAGTGCTGTTGGGAAGTGTGCTATACTTCTGTTTGCTTTGATGTGCCTTTGTGTTTGAAGAGCCGTAGGCATCTCATTTACAGTATTGAATAAAGTACATACAATCATCTTGTAAATCTTAAGGAGGGAGGGTTATGTCCACATGCCTAAGTGTCCACAGTTACACTGAAATGCTTTAGAAAGCAATAACAATTATGGCACAAATGTTTGTTTAACTGAACATATTTAGGAGAAATGACCACAGAAAAGGTTGACACGTCACAGTAAGGCTGACTTGCACAGGCTATCAAACATCAGAGCACCGCAGATGAGAAACGGATTGGAGGTTTGTGGTATGAGACTGCTGAGAATGGCGACTTGGTTAAGTGCTATTTCTACCGTAAAGTTTAAGCCTTATGTGAAAGCAGTCTAACACTAGGTCTGCAGACAGCCGTATGAAATCCAGTCACAAATTAAGCTGTTAGATCTTCTGGAGCTAGAGCTAGAAAACAGTACGTTCAGTAGAAGGGCCCATATCCTGCGTTTTTCTTATTTCCCCCCTTTATTTATGATGTTTTATATAGGCTTATCTATCTCAAATAGCCATAATTAATTTTCTACAACCTTTTCTCAAACTCTTTAACTCTTAGAGTTAACCAGGCTGTTTTTGTTACTGTGCCTTTAAGGCTGAGTGAGCTGATGTTTTGATTGGATATCTTATATGACGTTTCCTTCAAAAAGCAGTCCAGGTTGAAACATTCCTTTTAACTTTAGCATGGATGGGTGGAGCTAAACTGCTGAACAGGTGTGTGTGTATATATGTAAATGTTTTCATAACATTACAAAAACAGTGGATTCTTAGTGGACTGTTTTTGCAGCATAGTTTTCCATAGATGAACTGGGGAGTGAACGGTACATTTTGAAACTTTAAAAGCTTTAATAAGACATCAAACTCTTATTAAAAAGGAAAGCAAGGACATTTTTTTTTTTCTTCAGATGATACAGGTCTTTTAAACTGTTCGGTTGTTCAATGTTGTGCACAAGAAGAAGAGAAAATGAGCCAGCTTGTTGCAGAGATGAGACCTGCGGCCTGTTTGGTACGAAGGGAAGAGAGACAGATTAAAAACAGGGAATTTATTGCATGATACCTGGACAGCTTTATATATATATATATATATATATATATATATATATATATATATATATATATATATATATATATATATATAATATGACATTCTGAAGTTGTACTAGTTTCATACAGTTGGCCTGACCTCATCCCTTATACCTAGAATTTCAGAATTTCCCCACCCCACCACCAAGTCTGGTTCTGTCGGTGTCCATTGAGGCCTGAGATGTCGTGCATCGTCCTTTTTGAAATGGGTGGCCTGCCTGCAGTGAGAATTGAGGATGAAGAGCGTACACAATGGCCTGGCCGCCAGCCATTCCCATCCCCCTCCTCCTCTGTCTCAAACAGTTAGGCTCTGGGAGGGGCCACAGACCCACTCTGGGCATGGAAAGATTGTCCTGACAAAGAGTCAACATGCAAAACAGCCTTCGCACCCTGCTGCGAACAGGGAAGGCAGATGTGTTGGGAGCAGCTTATCGTGTCCATCTTATTGAGGCCTTTAGAGGAGGCCTTGTGGGGTTGGTCTTGTATGAGAGATTGTATCGATATGTGTAGAAGTACTTGGTCAAATACTGACCATCCTCTGCATGCTAAGATACTAAACTACATATTCGCTTTGAAATCAAAGGCCATGCCAGTGCGATGCAAAGTCTGACACTTTGTTGGCAAAAAAAAAAAGAAATTATGATCTTGTGCTGCCCTCTTGTGGCCAGTCCATGCCATTGTTATGATAATTGTTTTCCTTTTATAATAGTGTGTAGCAGATTAAGTGATTTGCAAGTGGCGAATGCTTGTATTAAGTTGCATTTCCATGTGTGCTCTGATATTTTCTTCTCTGTCTCTGTCCCTTTCATAGCGAGGTGAAGAAAGAAAGGGCACCGACGCCAGACGATGTAATTGTTTTGTCCGACAATGAGCCCTCCAGTCCATGTATGAATGGGATCAGCCACAGCGTCAAGAAAACGGACACAGAAATGCTCATGGTAACTGTTGGCGTTCAGTACTCTGTTCTCTTTGCAATCTCTTTTGAGTGCCTAGAGTCTACATTCATTCATAAACCACTGAGTTTGTACCTTTTCCTTGTGTTAAGGTAAACCTCAAAAGTATTTCCTTGCATTGTATCTGTTGTTGTACTAATTGATAACATAATGCTAAGAACTTCATGTGACTTCTTCTCTTCAAATTAATAGTACTGTGACAGCACACTTAAGCTTGTTTTCTGTACATAGTTAGTGGAGATTCTCCATCAGAAATCTATTATAGACTTGGATTAGTCTTATTCTAGTTCTGGGAACCAGTGACCCTATGCCAGCACACATTGTATGGTCCTGTTTCAGCTTTTCCTGCTTCAGCTGAGAGAATTATGCTGAGATTTGTTTCCTTCTGTATTGTGATTTGTAGAAGAGTAGCCCTGAAGAGCGCCAGAGGATCATAAAGCAGTTGAAGGAGGAGCTGCGTGTGCAGGAGGCCAAGCTAGTCCTGCTGAAGAAACTCCGGCAGAGCCAGATCCAGAAAGAGAGTGTGGTGCAGAAGGTAAACCTGGTGTTTAGGTGTCCCTACAAAAAAAAATATTTCCTTTATCATTTAAAATAATACAGGCCAGTCTTAAATCACATCAAACAAGACGCCTAGTATTTGAAACATGCAACAATATGAACACAATATGAAACTTTGTCCATATTGTTCAGCCCTAGTCCAAACCAAAGATTGTGTTCCAAGTTTTTTCTCTCTTCTCTCATACATGCTCTGTCTTTTTCCCTCACCTTCTTTCTTCCTTTGTCCCTGTCTCTTTTTTTATTTTTATTTTTATCCACTATTAACAGGCAGCCAATTCCACATCCAACCCTCCACCTCTTGTAAGAGGTAGCATCTCATCCAGCAAAGGTCCCCTACAGGTCAGTGCTCCTGCATTTCTCAGATCCGCACTCTTACCTTATGCAAGAACAAGAAACATTTCTGTACACTTCTTCCCCTGTATGCGCGTAGGTGTCATCTAATCGAAGCTCAGGCACAGTCATTCCTCCTCCTCTGGTCCGGGGTGGAGCGCAGGTTTCCAAGCATGCATCAATAGTGATGCCACCCTTAGTCAGGGGCTCACAGGTACACAGGGCACTGTTATCTGCTACTCACACATGTTTTTCGAAGCAATCGAATCTTGTTCTTTTTTAATTAAAATTTTATTCAATTGATTTAAATGTAATCAGTCGGCCCATGGTTCGTTCATCTACTAGACTATTCCTGTAACTCCTCAGCAGATTGCCACATTGAGGCAGCAACAGCAGCAACACTCTGGCTCAGGACCTCCTCCCCTGCTGCTGGGCCCTCGCACCTCTGTGCCCAACGTCCAAGTGCAGGGCCAGAGGATTATTCAGCAGGGCTTGATTCGAGTGGCCAACGTAGCCAACACCAATGTCCTGGTCAACATCCCACAGGTAAGACAGTACACATTTACTCTGACTCAGTCCAGAGCACTGTTTCTGTTCTGGTGTTACTCTGTAGTTTTTGTAAAGTGCTAGCTGCTGTTCATGTGAATGTTACACTGTTCCCTACAGTTCACCATACATTCATCATATTTACAAAATTATGCAATAGTAGATGAGTACGGGTGGGTGTTTTGGCAAAAATACAATATCATGATACTATGATATATATATATATATATATATATATATATATATATATATATATATATATATACACACACACACACACACACACACACACACACACACACACACACATATATATATATATATATATATATATATATATATATATATATATATATATATATATATATATATATATATAAAATGCTGGACTAAATCCAGTTAAATAGCCTAATTATGCTTCTTTTTAATGTAACAAGCAGTTGTTCAGTGTTGTTTGAGTACTAAGTATCTACAATATGTGCAGAAAAGTATGTTGTGGTATACTGTGACAGTTTATTTATATATTTATAATTACGCACACATATTAAAATCCACCTTGCCTTACCATCATTTTGCTGTTTTTGGCAGTAAGTTCATGCGTGGGAGGTGATTCATGCTTCTTTGCTCTTATGTACTTCAGATGGCAGCCAGCTCACATGTAGTGCAATTATACAACAGACTATTGATGCTGTATCTTGTACCTTCATGCTCTATTAAAATTCCAAGCCTTCCAAAAATGATGTTTGTATACGGCTTTAAGAATTTAAGTATAGCTGAAGTGTCATAAAACTCATAAGGTATGTCCCGTTGTTCCATATTCAGGGCTCACCTACTGCGTTGAAGGGTTCTTCCCAGTCAGGCATTAGCGCCAACGATTCTCCGGCCAGCCGACAGGCTGCTGCCAAGCTGGCCCTGCGGAAGCAGCTAGAGAAGACCCTGTTGGAGATTCCTCCTCCAAAACCCCCTCCACCAGAGCTCAACTTCCTGCCCTCTGCTGCCAACAATGAGTTCATCTACCTTGTTGGGCTGGAGATGGTGGTGCAGAACCTGCTGGATTTGGCTAAGAGTAAGTACTTTGCTTTCATGCCTGGAAAGACTTGACTCTTCTTGAATTGTACCATTCAATAGTTATCCTTGGAGAATTGTTTATGGGTATTATTTATGTTTCACATGTTCTTAATTTATGGCCTCTTGCATGATAAGTTTTGTTTGCTCCTCTCATCCTGGTCCCGAGGGACCTCTGCACTCCTTTACACACACACATACTTGCCAGTTATCGTTCCTTTATGAACTAAGTCGGGTGTGTTGTAGCAAACAAGATGCTGTACTGTGAAGGCACACCAGGACTAGAGCTAGATCATATAACCATTAGCTAAAATCTTACTGCTGGCATTCCTTATCCTAGGCAAACAGCAGCCACAGCAGGACACCTCTGCCACGGCGTCGGCTGTGAAGGACCCATTCACATGTGTGCAGTGCCAGACGGACTTCACCTCACGCTGGAGGCAGGAGAAGGGCAGCGGCTCCATTCTGTGCGAGCAGTGCATGAGCTCCAACCAGAAGAAGGCCCTAAAGGCTGAGCACACCAACCGGCTGAAAGAGGCTTTTGTCAAGGCCCTGCAGCAGGAGCAGGAGATCGAGCAGCGTATCCTTCAGCAGGCCGCTTCGTCCAGCCCCAAGACCTCTGCCACCTCTTCATCTTCATCCTCCTCTTCCTCACCAGTCGTCAAGTCGGAGCAGCATGTGCTGGTGTCGCAGCAGTATAAACCGGCTCGTGCCTCCTTGCCCCATCAGCATCAAGCTAGTAGGGCAGCGGCAGTAAACCGCTACCACTCCAGCATCAAGCAGGTGGGCTCTCACTTAAACCCTTGTGTGCATTACTTGGGCGGAAGGCCACAGTTCAAATTATTTCCCCCTCCTTTGTGATTTAAACTAACCCCAGAGCTTCCTGTTTGATATTTCCTGTTTTTGTATTACATTCCACAAACTCAGGAGTATTTTCTGTCAGTGTTACAGTTCCTTCCATGGAATATCTCTTCTCTGTTGCATGACAGCTGTCACCCTGAGAGGCTTTGGGTTAATTCATAATGCAGTCACTGTCACCTTTGAAAATGTTCTACTCTTGTAACCCCTGTGATCAACATTGGACAGATGTTTCAAACCGATATTTCCTGACACGCTAATTGTGCTTTATATAGGCAGAAAAAAATCAGCGTAATTAAATTTTTAACCATTGTATGTATCAATCTCACTGTATTTGTAATCCAAATGACTAATGCTAGACCTTATAGATATAGTTCCAATTTTTACATTCGATCAATACTGCTGTATGCAGAAGTTTGGGCACTCCTGGTCACTACGTTTCTAAATAAAATTATATTAACACATCCTCTACAGAGAACACGCTTCTGCACATTTTATACTGTTGAGGTGGTTTTACATCTGCCAGTTTAGTGTGTATTTTTAAATACTTCTTTTCTAATTCTTTTCGTAAGCTTAATACGGGGAAAAAAATGTAAACAAGGTTTTTTTGGGGGGAAAAGGGATAACTGAAAAGTGTGCATGCCTAGTGTAGCAATTCTAGCACACATTGGTTAATCAGGGTCCCCAGAACCACGTATAGAGTAGTCATTTAAATGCTAGGCCAGCTAACGGTTGTGCTGTTTATATTCTATTTGATTGACTTTTATTCAGTTAATTAAATAATTGACCCATTTCTTCCTTCTGCATTTCCTCTCACTTTGGCTGTAACTGCACTCATGGCACTTAATGCTCTGTTTGGGCAATTCTTTTGTTTCTTTTAATGTGTATTGCACTTTTGCTCTGTATTGCACTTTTAAGTAAACAACAAACTTTTTCCTCTGCCGTAATCAACGTTACCCACTAATTGACTTCAGCTAGTCATGGCGGCCCTATAAAATCCATACACACACATTCATATATTTGCACTTGTATGTTTTCCTCTCTCTGAGCAGAGTCCAGGCCAGCTGTCTCGCAGTATGCAGCAGGCAGCTGTCAGTGCGAGCTCACGTGGGCTGAGTCACGGCTTCTCCACGTCCTCTCAGCTGCAGAATGCTGTTACAGCCGCCGCGCTGGTCAGCAGGCCAGGTAAGCATGCCGTGAGGGCAGGGTCAAAGGGCAACAGCGGCAGCAGCAGCAGTAACCCCGCCACCAGTGCCTGGAGGAAGCAGAACAGCAGCATCGCAGGTAGATGATGCCGTCCGAAACCAGACAGATCCAAAATGTCTTCCTTTGTCCTTTACTCTCTCCTGTGCATTTTTCCGATTCTGCTGTAGAATGTGTTTAGACTTGACCTCACGGAGGGTTGCTAATTAGTGAGATAAAAACCTTTGAAGTTTTGTTGAAAAAAAGCTAAGCAACATAAGTATTTTTTTTTTTTTAAAGAGACTAACCATTATTTTTATTCTGTACCTGAACAACAAATCTTCACATTTTTCCTTTCTCTCATATAGAGGATTCCATGCAATAAAGTAAAAAAATTATTTTTTACTTTAAAAATTTATTTTTAATTGTATTTTTTAAATATTGGTGTATATTGTAGACTTCTCAAAATACAGATTAATTTTATTTTTTTTTATTTATTTATTTTTTGTTCTTAACACGTTAAATCTTCCATTTAGTTTGTTTAGTGCAAAGTGTAAATGTTTGTACTGATACAGAAATACTGCACAGATGCTTTTAAACCTTTTTTCTCTGTACCTTGTTGCTGTAAACTTCCTTTAAGGGTTCTGTTTTCTGGTAATGTGTGGATCAGATTTTGTTTGTTTCTATTTATTGTTCAGTATTGATTACTGTGTTCTGTATTATTTATATTGATTATTGTGCCCTTTCTCTGCAGGTGTCACTATGGCCTACGTCAACCCCAGCCTGTCTGTACACAAGACAACCTCTCCAGTGGACCGTCAGCGGGAGTATCTCCTAGACATGATCCCCTCCCGCTCCATCTCCCAGACGACAAACACATGGAAATAATGCCTCCCTCACCATCCTTTACTGAAATAATCTCATTATAATCCTGATTCTTGGACAACAGTTGGATATCGATATGCGATAACCAACTATCCAGCAATAATATAACAACAAAACCTTTTCTCTCTGCTTATTGGAAACCCTTGGTCCAGTCTGAGAATACAAGGAGACAGTGATGGAGTCCTGAGAGACTGGGTCAAGGATTAATGTTAACAGAGAGAGATGGGGACCTTTCGAAGAGGCCATGTGTGCATTAAGTCTGTTCACTGCCCCGTGAGCTGCAGTGATCCTGCCGCGTCCACACTGGTGATGGATACCACAGCCCACTGTCTCGTTCATCTCTATTTCTGGTTGTGGCTGCCCTGCAGGCGATAGAATGGTCATAGTATACAAGGGCCCCCTCCATTTTAGTGGACATACCTACTTCCTCTTAACAAGAGTGGAGGTGCCCAGACTGCACGTGAAGCCAGAAAGTTTTGATAATTTTTTTCTTTTGGACTGTTTTTTGGACCATGTGTGAGAATGGAGAATGCTTCAGCTTTGCAAAAATGTACATATTTAGTGGGGCGCAAATACACATGCTGCCTCTTTAAACATTGATATGGGAGTGCAAGTATGTAATTCTGATGTCAACTTTTTTTTTGGGCTTACATTGTGGACTCATTCCACCCCCTCTTTTCGAGCTGTCCTTTTTTGAGGGCCGAAGTTTAAAAAAAAAAAAGAAAAAAAAAAGGTATTGTTATACTGTTGAGGTGGTTTTACATCTGCCAGTTTAGTGTGTATTTTTAAATACTTAAATTCTTTTCGTAAGCTTAATACGAGAAAAAAATGTAACCAAGCTTTTTTGGGGGGGAAAAGGGATTACTGAAATGCTACAATGCAATTTTTTTCCCCCTCCTCCCCTTTTTATAACTCCTGTCAAAATCAGGTGGGCATGATGGCATGGTTTTGCAGAGGCATAGGGGTTTGGGTGGGACTTCTTATGAAGCTTTAGGCTAAGTTTGTGGTGTGTTTTGTTTTGTTTTGTTTTTTTTATGATTTTAGGTTATGTCTCTACATGGGGATATTTAAAACTGTACACCTGCAGACTTCTTATGAAGGAAACTCCGGTGGCCCAAATTGTTAAACTACTAGATCTTTCGTTTCCTTTAGAATTTTCAAACATGATCAATTGACGACTAAATCCAATGACAGGAACTCTGTTTCAATATAAACGTGTCAGGAGATGAATCAGCTGCCAGGTATATAGTGTTCAATGCTTGTAAGAAAGCAATGCTTATTAGAGCTGTTGAGACATCGCCTCACTGCTCTCCTGTGGGGCTGAACGAAATTATGGCCCTGTTTTTCCCCTGTTATTCATAAATTGAGTTGCTGGCACTGTGCCTGGCATTTCAGCTAAGCTGGAGGAGGGGGCTAGTCCATGATCAACAGTAGTACCTCAATTCTCCCTCCCCCACATAAGTAAATGATTATAGCCAGCGTTTGGTCATCCTTGACCCGTCTTGTCAAACTCTTAGCATTTCTTGAGCCCTTCTCTCAGGGCCGTAGCTGCCTGTGGGGTTTGGAGGCCTCTGTTTCACACTGCTGTTCTGACTACTGCCTGCTGCTGCTGAGAACTAACACCATTCCATTGTCCAGGGATGCTAGCGCTATTTGCAGCACTGTGTCCCTTTTATGAATTGTACAAAAAAAAAAAAGTTCCCCTTTTTTCATTTATTTTTGGTCTATCGGTTAATGATTATAATAAAAACCAAATTTAACCTATTGTCTTTCTTTTTACTTTGGTAACGTTGGAGATGTGGATGTACTTCAAACTGTTAAGTGTTAAAAGTCCCCTTCATGTTTTTCAGTGTCTGTGCTGGCTGGAGGTTTTTCCATGAGCCATTCACCAGTCAACATGTAGGCTTTTGTACTGAAACACTACAAGACTGCACTCATTAGAAGCCTAAAATATACCACAGCACTGCTCGTTCATGCTGAGGAGGCCAAGGAAGAAGTCTGAAAAACACTGCAAATACTCAACTGATATGCACGTCTCCAGCTACGGTGCTGTAAAAGTCAGAGACCACCCTTCATTTATTTGATTTCCAGTCAAAATGGCTGGGGATGTACCACTTATTATTTTGTTTATAATAGCTTCCATTCTTTTCTGGAGACTTGCTTTTTCAAAGAAATCTGCAGGGATATTTATCCACACCTCCAAAATTCAGTCTTAGAAGTTGGTTTCATTTTCTGCTTAGTATTGCGTGATGTAAAATTTGTTTGTAGCATTCATCATGCCTTCATTCACAAGCAGATCACCAACTCCAGATACATTATACATCCCCAAATACTGATTCTCATTCATTCTTGACTGATGGTTGTAGACAGCCTAATTCGAAGTATGTTAAATTGCTTTGGCGTACTATGTTACCTCAAATTTAGACTCATCAGTCTACAAAAACTTAATCCAAGCAATTAAATCAAGATTGGAGCTTAATTTTGTTTCGGTTTATCTGCTATTGACAGTTTTGGTGGCCTAACAACTCTTGCACAGTTGTTAGGAGTCCCATTTTCTCTATTAGTTCTCTCTGAATTTGAATTTTTGAGCTCCTGTTTTGGAAACTCCTGCCTTTTTTATTCTTGAAAATATCTCCTGATAATTGAATAACTTGTTCTTACTGGCCTTTTGGACTGGAAATTAAATAAATGAAGGGTCACTGACTTGCACAGTACTGTATATTGTACTTCGGCACCTCTTGCTCCACAAGTACCCCTACCTGCGCTACAAAGACCAGTAGATGAAAAGCTTCAGAAAAGAGTCATGTTCCAACACAGCGTTTTAATTAACGTCATTGCCTCTTACTGTAGCCAAGGATGCTGTGCCACTTGTGTCACTGAAGGCCGTGTGGAGGGACAGAATTGCAGCAGATAAGAGATGAGGGCACGACAGGGCTCCTCCACTGGGATCCCCTCAGAATACACCAAGGCTTTGCCCTGGAGCCGTGGAATACGGCTCACATTGGAGTCGTCGAAGGGCATGCAGCCGGTGACCATGACGTAAAGAACAACCCCCAGGCTCCACACATCATACTTCTTCGGATCATAGGGCACACCCAAAAGCACCTCAGGTGGCGCGTAGGCAGCAGAGCCACAGAACGTCTGGCTTAGTTCAGGGAAGCCTTTTGCAAACCGCCCAAAACCAAAGTCTGTCAGTTTGACCTGATGGTCAGCGGTCAGTAGCACATTTTCACACTTCAGGTCTCGATGGACGATGTCTTTCTGGTGCAGAAAGGTCACGGCACTGAGGATCTGAGAGAACCACATTTTGGCCTGGTCGCTGGGGATGCAGTTGAGCTCCTGGGTCTTCTGGAGGAGATCTGTTGTGGCGGGCTCCATCACGATGTACAGCGGTCCGTTGTGGACCTCGATGAATTCATGAACATGAACAATGTGATCGTGCCTTGCAGCTTTTAGAGTGGCCAGTTCCCGGGGCAGAAATTTTGAGACAAATTCATGTGGTGCCCTCTTGCGGTCCACTATTTTGATGGCAACTTGTGTGGAGTGCTTGTTGGATGTGGCCAGCTTGACCTTGGAGAAACTCCCTTCACCGATAGTGGCTCCGAGCTTGTAGCCCAGCCTTTTCAGAACTTTTTCATTCATAGTTTTTCTCACCCTGGATACAACGCGGAGCTGAGTCAGAAGGTTAAGAAACCATCATGAGCCACTCGTTTTCCAAGCCAAGTCTCTTCTACTTGTGGCTGATACCTGCGAGAGTCTTTCTGAAGAATTAGAAGATTCTGCTGTGATGTCATAAAGTATAAAAAGTGATGTCACAAGGTGACATACATAAGGGCGCCTTCACTCTCCGTGTCACAATAGGCTGCTACAGTGCAGCAAACCTTTTAAAGGCATTCTATTAGTGTGTAATGCTGTAGTAATATTAAATGGGAACACCACCATTTTTAAAAACATTCTGCATAATTCAATCATTAAGATGTAAACAAATCATTTTGAGTATTTTGATTACATTTGGTGCATTGTAGAGAAACTTGACTCTGTATTTACAGTAGTGGTCATAGGAATCGGGGGTTGCAATGTCTACAATGCAAACACATGCCTTTGATTTACTATCCAAAATAACCAACATAGACGTCTTTGTGTGTTTGTTTAATGTTGATTATGGTTAATAGTGGTAGATCTGGAAAAATAAGTTTTCTTTGGGGACTATTTTGTCGTCTGACATCCTGCATGTACTTCTCCATAATGAAAATTTTAAAAAATATGTTTTAGGACCAAATCTGATAACTTTTTGTGAGGGAGCTTTTACAGGCATCAAATGCTTGAGGTGTCTGGTTCCCATCACCACCACTTTAAACGATTCTGACTCTGTAAGTTTCTCTAGAACAGCATTTCACACCAAACCACTCTGAACAACTTTGTTTACATCACAACCTCTTAACCCTTTAACTATTTGGTAGAGCACATTTTGAGTGGTAGTTGTGAATATTTAAAAAAAAATTGTGGGGTTAAAAAACAAAAAAAACACCAATTGTTTTTATTATTGCCCCACACAAATAAAAAATACATTGCTTTTTTTCTTGGTGAGGGCATTAAACGGTTAATGCAGAAATTTTGAAAAATTGCTGGAATTCCCCTTTTAAAAGTTTCAGACATCTACAGGTGTCCACAGAGGCCATGGGGCAGTTACAGTTCTCTGGGCTGCCAACTTGAGATCATGACTAAATTGTCTTGTTATCTCAAGATAACAAAAGTTGTTTTCTCTATCACAACCTGTTTGTCCTTATCTCAAGATCTCACGTTTTCTTGAGAAAGTAACTTTTATCTTGATATCACAAGACAAATAAGTTGTGATATCGAGATAACAATCCAGAAAAGTATAACTATCTAAAAGCCTGTCAGGACTTCCACCATCACTAACAGTACATCTTTCTAGAACAGATCATTTCACATCAAACCACTGTTTAATGAATTTGTTCACCTTAATGATCGAATTCTGCAGAAATTTGGAAAAATCGGTGGAGTTCCCCTTTATGCACAGATTATTTGACCTCGTGAAAGAGGAGAAAAAAATGTAGAGTGTCGAGTTTTGGACGGTCAGCGATGCATCCCTCTTTCTTTCTTTATTCCTTCCTTCCTTTCTTTCCTTTTCTTTCTTCATCTTTCTTTCTTTCTTTCTTTCTTTCTTTTTTTCTTTCTGTGTTTCTTTCTGTCCTTCTTTGTGGATGACCGTAGGAGCCGATTAGGCCCTCCAGTGAAAGTCCCTGAGCAGCTCCCTTAGCTGGGCCGGAGCTGAAGTGACGGTGGCTCCGCTTTAGCGGTCAGTTTTTAGTGACAGTGGATTTATTCTGTAATATAATAGTTATTTTTGAAACTTGGGCCTCGAGTCTGTTATTCGACTCTAACATTTTCTCTTCAATAACAGTTCATAACAGTTGCGGAAGCTGCTCATAACCCATGTTTAGCTTAGCGCGCGGTTTGAATCTGAACCCGCTGTTAGCTTCTCTAATGCTTCCGTCGCCACTGTGGAAACGGACGGTGGATAAAAGCGGACCCAGCAGAAGAGGAGCTGAGAGGAGAGAGGAGCTCTTGTAAAAAAGGCTCGATATGTTCAAAAATAACACATGTTCGACAGAAAGAGCCTCACAGGTCAGTTTAAAAATAAAATATCATTCCTGGTCCTGAACTGTGTGGCTCTGCTCTGCTAGCCCGCCTGCGCTTTTTAGTCCTACAATTATAGACTATCATCTGTTTCTCTGCATGCTTTGTTAGCCCCCTTTTACCCTGTTCTTTAATGGTCAGGACCACCACAGAGCAGATAGTCTATTATTTGGGTAGTGGATCATTCTCAGCACTGAAGTTACACTGACGTGGTGGTGGGGTTTTAGTGTGTTGTGCTGGTACGAGTGGATCAGACACAGCAGTGCTGCTGGAGTTTTTGAACACCTCAGTTCACTGCTGGACTCAGAATAGTCCACCAACCAAAAATATTCAGCCAACAGTGTCCTGTGGGCAGCGTCCTGTGACCACCGATGAAGGACTAGAGGATGACTAACATAAACTGTGCAGCAGCAGATGAGCTATCGTCTCTGACTTTACATCTACAAGGTGGACCAATAAGGTAGGAGTGTCTAATAGAGTGGACAGTGAGTGGACACAGTGTTTAAAAACTCCAGCAGCACTGCTATGTCTGATCCACACATACCAGTGCAACACACACTAACACACCACCACCACGTCAGTGTTACTGCAGTGCTGAGAATGATCCACCACCCAAATAGAACCTGCTATGTGGTGGTCCTGTGGGGGTCCTGACCATTAAAGGACAGTGTAAAAGGTTGCTAACAAAGTATGCAGAGAAACCGATGGACTACAGTCTGTAGATCTACAAAGTGCACCAATATGGTAAGTTGACAGTGAGGGTAGATACAATGATGTGTACTTAATAAAGTGGCCGGTCGGTATATACGTAATGCACCATATTTATCAAGCCTTTCAAACTCTGATTTAAGATCAGGTTTCATCAGTTCTTGAAATTTTATTCAGTGTTATATAAAAGCTGTAAGCTGATCCCACATCAGCATTCATACTCTGATAAATATGGACCACTGCTTTTAGAATTTCAAGAAATGAAAACAGTACAAAACCTCCATCATTTATTTTTTGCCTTACAAACTTTTTATTTTGGTAAATATATGCTTATTCCAAATGTGTTGCTCGCGTTTGTTCCAAGAAAGTTGGGACAGGAGCATGTTTACCACTGTGTTACATCACCTTGTCATGTAACAACATTTGTTAATCATTTGAGAATTGAAGACACAAAATGATCCAATTTTGAAACTGATTTTTTCTTCAGTAATACATATTTTCAATTGGAGACAGTTCTAGGCAGCAGACAAGCCAGTCTAGCACCCGCACTGTCCGATTATGCGGCCATGCTGTTATAACACAATGTATATTAGTGCTCATGTTGAAATAACCATGAACGTCCTTGAAAACGGCAACATATGTTCTTCCAAAATGTATATATCTGTCAGCATTAATGGAGCCTTCACAGATGTGCTAGCTACCTACTTATAGACCATCGTACCACGACAGACCCTGCCTTTTGATATTATGCTGGTAACAGTCTAGATCACATGTCAGTCCTTGCAGGCCAAAACACTGCAGACTTCAGCACACTGCCTCATTAAACACACCTGATTCAGCTCATCAGCTAATTATCAAGGCCTTCATGAACTGAATTATGAGTGTTAGACAAGGGTAAATGCAAATTTCTGCAGCATTTTGGCCCAGAAGGTCCCCAGTTTGACATGTCTGAGCTAGATGTTCCTTTTTTTCCTTGGCCCAGAGAACACAACATTCAGTATTTCCATGAACAATCTGCAAGGTGGACTTGTCAGATCACAATACACATTTCCTGTGCATCAGTCTATTTCATATGAGTTTGAGCCCAGAGAAGTTGGCGGTGTTTCTGGACGTTGTTAACATATGGCTTCCACTGTGCATTGTACAGTCTTAACTTGCATTTGTGGATGCAGCGATGAACATTGTGTATTGACAATAGGTTGTCAGAGTATTCCTGAGACCATGTGGTGATATCCATCACAGAAGCATGCTGGTTTTTAATGCAGTGCTGTCTGAGAGATCAAAGGTCATGGCATTCAGTTGTGGTTGTTGTCCTTGCGCTTTTCACACAGCAATTTCTCTGGATTTGCTGAATCTTTTTTTTTTTTATATTATGCATCCAAGAGAGTAAAATACCTAAACTCCTTCCTCCTAGGATCCTTGTTGTTAAACTGTTGGATTATTCGCTGATGCACTTGGATGCCTTTTAATTGCGTTACACTGTCCTGAATTTTTTGGAACTATAGTTTGTACAATAGGAAACCATGCAAAATAGAAACAGTAGAAACCTGTACTGGCCTGCATTTGGAATCATTTTCTCTTTTGTCTGCTTAAATTGCTTTACTCGCCGTATTGCTGTTTAACTTCATTATATTTGTGATGCTAAGATATTTTTCTCCCATGCCTTGTAATTCGTGTATTAGGTGACAAGAGTGCGCTGTCCAGCTCGCTATCGCCCACATTAATCTGAGTGCCGCTGAGTGTTTGTATGGTTCACTGGGTTTATGGCAGTGTGTGTCTAATGAACAGAAATGAGCCTCATTATCTCCAGCTGTCAGTGCTGAGTTTCCACTGCTCAATTCTACAGTCCCTGAGGCAGACTGCAATAACTCGATATCAGCTGAAGGAGGCAGTGTTTACCCTCAGCTTCGGCCAGCAGACCCCAGCATCTGCAAATCCTTGGAGTATATTCAATTACACATTAGACCAATGGGTATTTCCCTTTTGAGATCATCGACAGCAATAATAATAACAGTAATAATAACAGTAATAATAATTACTGTTGTAAATTGTCAATCATATTAGTCATAATAGTTATAATTGGTGTTTTTCATTGTAAAAATACTTTATTACAATACTGCTATTCATTTATACAACTATTTATTGTTAGAATTATTGTTATTACAATGATAATAATCAGATTTAGTCGTAAACCATTCAAGGCCTGTAACAGGAATTTTATATTAAAACAGCTGAGGGGATTATTATTAAACCAGTGATGATCATATACAGTCATATGCAAAAATTAAGGCACCCCTGGTCAAATTGTCTACATGAAAATAAGGTATCCTCAGAAAACTTAAGCAGGGCTTTTTTCTGCAAATTTTTAGAGTACAATTTCTATTTATTTGCTGAATTTAACAGACAAATTATACTACAAATAAGATATAAATAAAACATAACACATGAAATGAGTTATAACCTTTGTACACACCGCATTTTATGTTTATTACTTTTCCAATGCCCTTAAATTCAGCAAAAAAGCAGTAATTCTGCATTAAAATGGGCAAAAGTTTGTTCTCTATGGAGGATGTGTTCAACAAAACGTGTAATCTGAACAGGCTTGTCCAAATCAGTATTACAGCAGAAGTGAGCAGAAGCAAGCTCTTGTACTCCCATATGAGTGAAATTAACTCTGCCTGAATGGTGCTCATAATTGTCCTATTTTTCTTCCCGCCTCTCTCGGCTTTCCAGTAAACGATATAACGTTTTTGTTTTTCAAGGACGAGTTACATGGAAATCCCCTTTTTTCTTTCGAAATTCCTTTCGTAGGCCTGCTTTTAATGGTTTGTGACTGTGATTAATCTGCTTTTGTGTTTTAAAGGACCTAATTTCAGTTTGTGGGGTCACTACAAGACAATTAATATACATGCAGATCATAACAATTGTCAATGATTATTATTGAGTCTGAGTCCAGTGTAATTCCAAAATAATTCCATAGGATTTCTGCTGTAAGATTTCTATTCAGGGATTATAAGCATGCAAATGACTTCCAAAATATCCATGATTGTCGGGGATGATCAGGGCTGTGATGTGACTGCCTGTGGATTAGCTGTGCCGTGTGCGTGTTCTGAGGATGCTGCTTCTGGAGGCGATGCCGTCTCTGGCTGGCTGAGCTTGTAGCGTTGAGGCATTCGGCCAATCACACACCTCTCGTTGGTTCTGCCTGCCTCTTAATTGGCTGCCACTGGCAGTGAGGGCAGCTGATCCACGCGTGAAGCCCGATTTATCAGCCATTGAGCCAGCACGGAAGAGGAACAGACAGAGAGAGAGAGAGCGAGAGAGAGGAAAGGAGAGGCTCAGAGAACAAGAGAGAAAACTAGAGCAGGCTGACTGGTGCAGAAGGATCCGCTGCTGAATCTCATCACCTGTATCCAGCGCTCCGCTGCCTGGCAAAGATGAACCACAGCTCCAGTGAAAAAGAGCCAGAGACCATAGAGCCACTGCGCTACCTCAGGTAAGCCAAGTCACACATTGCCCAGCTTCATTGAGCCTGATACTGTAATCATAAGAATGCTGCTAGAACTAATAGTTTAAAATCAGTCTATTTCTTATCTTGGACTCATTCAGTGATTAGCCCTAGTGGCGGCTCTAAGGCTGAGAGATATATTTTCTATCGTAGTTTCTGTATCTGAACTTCAATGAAAGAACGCTCCAGCTTCCAGCACTTCTTAAATGTGCCTAATCCAGCTTTACATTCCCCATATGGAAATCAAGCAACAGATTGCACAGCATCAAATGCGCTCCTAAGGGACGTTTCCTCTCCTGACATGTTTTTACTGTTGCAGCCAGGAGCTAATTATATTCTGTTCAGTGATTCAGCAAACATTCAAAACAGTGCAGTTGCCCAAGAGCCCTGGTGTGGCTTTGAAAGCACCATAAGCGCCAGGCCGGAGCTGTTTTTCCACTTCAGTTGGGTTCTATAATGTGTTGCAGATTGAGGCGCATTGCAACTCGACAGAAGCGATGTGACATTTCGCTTGCCGTTGTGATGGTAACGTCACGGCCGGTGCTTTGCTCTTTAAACATGTGTGGGCTGAATGTTGACTATTAATCTTGTATTATCTCCCCCTTTTTGTAGTTCTGGGAGAAACAGTTGCCGTGCTTGAAAGAAAATGGGCAGTTTTGCAAAAGATCTGAAATTCAACAGATTCCCCTTTTTCGTTTTCCATCTGTGCCTCCAGTGTTTTCCAAACCTGAACCTTAAAACCTGCTGTATCTCTAATATGTGATCAGTTACCGCAGACCATGATTTCAACATTTGCCTTGTACTTAGTAAAAGAACAGAACAGAGAACGATTAACTTGAAACACACTTATAATCGAAGGCAATGGGCAGGTGCTTCACTAGTCTCATGGGGACAGACGTCTCGTAATGAGACATTTTGGGCTAAATATGGGCTTATTAAGGTGGGAACAACTGGGTGTGAAATGTCTAAACCAGTCCAATGCTTCGTGAAGGCGAAGCTCAGGTGCTGCTGGACTCATCAACATTGTTAGATGGACAACAAGCCTGTCGTTAGCCCGTGGATGCTATGTAAGTTAGCATGGCTAAAAACTCCAGATATTACCTCTCGCAAGGGAAAAACAATTCCTTTGCCTACTGATAACAATTTGCTAGCTAAAGTCTTTTGTTGGTTTGACACATTGTTCCCATATCTGGCCTGGCACAAGTCAGTGATTTCTGTATGGCCAAAGGTATGTGGACACCTGACCATCACACCTATATGAGCTGTTGGACATCCCATTCCAAAACCATGGGTTTCAATATGCAGTTGTTCCCCATTTTGCAGCCTCTACTCTTCTGGGAAAGCTTTCCACAAGATTTTGGAGTGTGTTTTTGGGAATTTGTGCCCATTCAGTCAAAATTGTGAGGTCAGTCTCTGGTGTTGAACGAGAAGCCCTGGCTTGCAGTTAACATTCCAGTTCATCCTAAAGGTGTTCTGTGGGGTTCAGGTCAGGGTTCTGTCTAGGCCACTGGAGTTCCTTCACACCAAACTCGTCAAACCATATCTTTATTGACCTCGCTTTGTGCACAGGAGTACAGTCATGTTGGAACAAGAAAGGGTATTCCCTAAATTGCTGATCTCAAACCCTGAAAAACCAGCCATCGACCATTATCCCTCCTCCACCAAACTTTACTGTTTGCACTATGCATTCTGGTAGGTAGTGTTCTCCTACCATTCGCCAAACCCAGATTCACCCATCAGACTGCCAGATAGTGAAGCATGACGCTTGGCTTTGCCCATAGCAATCTTGTCTGCAGCTGCTTGACCATGGGAACCCATTTCATGAAGCTCCTGATGCACAGTTCTTGTGCTGAGCTTCCAGTGATGCAATAATGGATATGTGATTTTCAAGTGTTATGTGCTTAAGCATTCAGTGACCCCACCCTGTAAGTTTGCATGATCTACAGCTGTGACGCTGAGCTGTTGATGTTCTTATATGCTTCCATTTCACTTACAGTTGACTGGAGCAGATCGAGCAGGGCAGAATTGTCACAAAATGATTTGTGGCAAAGGTGGTGTCAGAGGACAGTTCTGCATTTAAAGTTACTGAGTTCTTCAGTACAACCCAATTTACTGGCAAAGTTTGTCTACAGAGATTGCATGGCTATTTGCTTGATTTAATACACCTGTTAGCTGTGGGTTAGTGGCAATATACTTCAGGCCACACAGTGTAAGTACATATAATCAACCATATTCTACACATGTAGCGGATAAAGATCAGGGAAAAAAACATTGGAGTATTTCTTTAAATGCCTGGCCATAAGGGACACCCTTGCCTAGCACAAGTCATTCCCTGCGGTTGTGTTATATTTATGGGTTTCTCTTCTGAGCAGAGGCAAATGAAATGTGGCATGAGGTAAAAAATGGGAGAATAAGGCCATGGTAGAATGCATGCTTTAAAATAACGAAATAAATGAAGTCACAGTCTGTGGATATAACATCTGACCTGTGTAGGCCTTTCTCCAGAACTGCTCCCCCCCTCCGGCTTCCCTACAAAAGCCGATTTGATCATGAATATGAGCAGAAACAGTTTGTTTTCCATAATGATGGCTTTGTTGGCAGAAGAGGCCCTTGAATCTTATCCCGTCAGCCCACGGACGTTTAAACACAAGGCAGTCAGCGAGAGACTGGGCAAATTATATGCTTCGTCGAGACCACAATGATAGGATTTAAGGGCTTAAGTTGTGGATTTGGAGGAGTTTTGTGTTCAAGGCGTCACATAACCTCTCAGTGTGTCGCTGCGTTTGTCTTGTGACAGTGTTTGTGTCTGCAGTGTCAGCTTGGCTTTTTGGTTCTATAACCTATAAATGGCTTCTATTCCATTGGAAACCTAGGAATGCTTTTTTATTTATATACTGAAAATGTTATTCCACACTGTCAGAATTTGCAGGATGAATGGACCAATATAAGTGATTTTTAGTTATAAAAGAAATTCAGCGATATGGATAAAGTACCATACTGTGATTATACCGATATATATAATGCGATTCTGATAGGCTTTGATATATTAAGGTGCCCATATCATGGAAAACCAAATTTTCTCATTTCTTTTTCTTTTTTTTTTGATATAGGTATAAGTCCCTTTGGAATTATAAGGTTCTATCTGACATTTTTGTCAAAATTAAGTTATTCTCATGTTCTTATTCTATGACACTTCTTAACATTTTGTGAGGTGTTTTTTTAAGTCGTGTGCATTTTTGGACTTTTTACCTAGAAAACAAAAGGTTCTGTCTCCATAGTCAAACTGTAACTTCTACAAGGTTCTGTAAGGTTCTATCTGTGAGCCAATCAGCACTTCGAATACACACAAGAGGACCAATCAGGTTCTGTGTCTTTGTCATGTTGCTGCTCAGTGACTGCAGGAAATGTTTACAAAACTTTATGAAACTTGACAACATGTTGCTGAAACTCTGCCTGTCTTCTTGCAGTTCTGCAGAACGTCCTATTGTCTTAAATATTATAAATATTAAGCCTTAAATGTAATTAAATAGTATATATAGTATAATTAAAAAGTATAGATATAAAACAAAACCTCACACTGCCTTTATACTGACCTGCTACACTTACTTGCTGGGAAGGGTTATTACAGTAACTGGTCACTGTCTGACCTGAAGGACGCTTAAACGTATGGTTCCTACCTAAAAATGAAACCAGCACTGGACTAAACATTTAGCACTGACCTTTATACTTAATCTACCAATCAATGCTTTTTTAAATAAGAAAAAGATGATTTGTCCTAAAACAAGAAACAAATGTCATAAAAAATATGTAAACAATAAAAATAAATGCCATAAAAATGTCATAGAAAGCATTACATTTTACTTCTGGACACATGTAACTCTCTGTTACACTAATTTTTTTGTTTTAAAACAATTTACAAGTAACTTGTTTGTGTTCCTTGAAAATCGTTGCTTCTTTTCATGTTTTGCCAGATAGAACCTTTAACTCCAGGCAGAAAGTGGGTTGTTAAGATTAGAAGGTTCTGTCTGCATTTGACCTGTTCCAAAAAACTCATATATATATTTGATAGAATTTTGATGTTGTACATTTTGAATGCATTTAGGGTGTCTGTCACTGTCATGTATGAAAGAATCATGTTCCACATATCAGTTTTGCTGTTTGGAATGCAAAATCTTTGAAGCTCAATATCCCAGACTGCTCAGAATGCAGATAGAACCTTATAATTCCAAGGGGACGGCATGTAAGCATTATTACAGTCAAAGCATTGCAACTAAGCTGGAAAAACAGCCTGTTTTGAAGCTATTGTTTTTGTGATGTCACAAAAACCAACACATTTACAAATATCCTCCTATTCAGCCTCCAGCAGTTTAGCTCCACCCATTCATGCTGAAGTTATGAGGAGTGTTTCAGCCTAAACTGCTTTTCTGAAAGAAGTACAATACAGAGCAGCCAATCAGAACAGAGCTTATTTACATACATTAGTCTTAAAGGCACGATGACAAATCAACCTGTTTAATTCTAAGGGATACAGAGAAGCTGGAAAATGGTTGTGATTGTGTACTTTTCGGTACATAAACCCACACAAATACCAGACTTGGACCTAAAAAAATGTAAGATGTGGCTCCTGTGTGATCTTAATTAATTAATCATGTAAATGCATAATTAATTGTGGGAATGCATGTTGGATCATGTAAATGCATTGATTAATCAAGACACCCACAGAAGCTCATCTTAAACATCGGATGTTTTTCAGGATCCTCACAGCACACAATGAACATGATTGTGGTTTATTAAAGGGTTCATTTGCATATTGCCTTCTGTGATATCAGTATTGCAAAGGCCAGTATTGTAATAACTATTAACAAATAATATAATGTGCAGCCCAACTGCAGCGTATGACAGCCTTTTCATTGTGAGTGTGTTTTTTTGCTTTATGTCTTGTGTTATTTCTATGCAAATGTGGAACATTATACACCCTCTTATTACCG